TGCTAAGACCATTTTACTCTCACTTGGACGTGCTCAAAGAGCTATACTAAAGGTAGCCTCCTGTCGCCCATTTAGGTTCCCTACTCATCAACTCTATCTAGAATTCAAAGTTTTAACAGTTCTACAGTTATTTATATTGCACATCATACTAAAAAAATCACGCGGCACTACCATTTAATCCTATGTTCTTAGACAAGGAAGAAACGACATTGTATGTGTCAAACCCCAATTTTATCCCTTCTGTGCTAAGAAGCACCATATCTATGTATATAATAAGATAAACAAAGTTTTGAAAATATATGCCGTATCGTATAGGTACAAAGTGTCAAACTCTAGTAGGAGAATATTTAGGTAAGCTTAACTACGCAGACACAGAAAACATCTTAGCAATTTTAAAATGATCTAATTTAAACTAGAATTGGGTTAGTAAACAATAAGTAATATACATATATTTGTGTATACAAACCAGTCTGAAGTAATTAACATTATCAATCTATTAGTACTTTAACATATGATCGTCCTGTAACTAACATAGTTAAGCGACTGCCTGAAACACAGGTCTCACACCTAGCTCAGGCTCCTTGCAAAAGAATTTTTAATATTTTGTTTTTACCTCTTTATATTCAATCTTGCACATTTTAAAATAGTCACTAGTTTTATGTTAGCTTTAGTAACAAACTTGATATAAGAATCTAATGACAATAAGACGAAATCATATACAAAATGTAACCTAGATTTTATTCTGATTCTGCAAATATTCACATTAATCAATTATTATTAATTAAGAATATCAACAGCCTTTGACAGTCCACTGCTGGACATAAGCCTCTCCTCAGAAAGTAGGTTTTGGCCTACTATACCACGCTGGCCAGACGGGTTGGTATAGGGTTTGTATCAAGTTTACCTTCTCTTTGCAGTGCTCTTGTTCTGCGTAGTTTTTTTCCCTTAGTCGTCTCTTACGACACCCACGGGATGAATAGGGGTGGTGACACTCTGTATTCTTAATCCGTCACCACACGGATACGCACTGTCACTGCAAATATTCGTCGTCAGGTAAGCAGTCGCCACTCGAGAACTTTTTGTGTCCTCATCGGTCATCATTTCTGCGAGAAATGTGAACCGCCAACTGCCACTCAAGTTTGACAATTATATGTGGTGTCAAGACAAGTTAGAATGTGTAATATTGTATCAGGCTTTTTGTCTAGTTTCTTTTATTACCCGCTGCTTGCTAAACGCCACGTTCACAAGAGAGCCTTGAAAATGTGAAGGACCGGATGTCATGCCAACACAAAGGAAAAATTCTCTGATGATCCTCTCAAAGGTTGATGTTGGGAATTTGTATGTAGGTACGCTAATATACGTGATAACATTTTTGATATCACAATACATGATATTGATATCGTAATACAGGTACTGTAGTTCGGTGTGTATTCGATAGATGGTGCTGTATTATGTTTTTTTTTTACTGTATGTGGAAGGTCACAAATATCAGAGACGTACCTACTTGACAACGAATGAACGTAACTTGAAGTCAAGAAAACGGATAGGGTGAAGGAGCTAGATAGAAAAGACTCAAGGCGGGTGTGGGAAACGGGACTGAGACCACATAAGCTAGAAGAAGCCAGGGTCGCGTACCCATTATGTCCGTCCTGGAAATGAAGACCACTAGGAGTCAACTGGTATTGTGGTATTAAAATCAGGGAATTTAAACTAAGCCTTTATATCTAAAACATACAGACAAAAATAACAACAGAACTGCTAGATATATTTTAATTCTCTCTGTGATTGTGTGTGTTTGTGGTTTGTGTGTATGTATGTGTGTGGTGTGTGCATGACGCGCAGACGGGTCACCTGATGGTAAGTTACTACCTCCAAGGTACAACACAAGTTCGTTGCTGACCTTTAAGATAAGACTCATAGCTTCACAGGAAACCGCCTCTCCCTTCAAGTAGTCTCATTATCCTAGTGGATTTGACTTCAACATAAACACGAGCACTCTATAATTTAGGCAATTGTTTTTCATTAAGGCAGAAATTTAAAGAAATGAAACATAATGACAGTGGCATGTCAATATATATATGAAAATGTAATATATCTTCATAAAAACAAGTACAGCTTTTTGAAAAAAAATCATGTACATTCTATAAATACCAGGAATAGAAATAAACTTGTAGTACCTGCCTCTAGGCTCCAAATGATAAGTCGTTTCGAGGTCAATGTGTCCGATTTTATAATAAAATCCCAAATGATATTTAAGACTTAAGTATATATAAGAAATTTAAATTCGCAATTAAACGTAAATTATGTCAGAAAGCCTATTACTCAATTGTGGATTACATAGAAGACAAAAATGCTTGGGAATAATTTAGCGCAGGCTACTTCTTAAGTGGAAATGTGATGTGGGGTAGGGTGATTTTTATTATTATTTTTTGTTGCTCTTCACTTTCTCTTTTATTTGATCTCTTTTCCTAAACTTATTTTTCTATTTACCTTTTAATCTTTAATAACGGACATACTGACACACATCGGAACAATGTTGCGGTATATTTAATGATGCCATTGTATTTATCTTATTCTGTAAATTGTAAAAGAGTGGCCATGAGTTTGTTCACCCTTTCTTCTCATAAGGCTCAACCCCTTGGAAACGGGCGGTTGTGGATCGCCACAGGCATATTATAGATTTGGTATATATATGCATAATTTTTATTGAAAAAAAATCCTAACTATTTGACAAAACAGAGATTGTTGCTATTGTGTGTTGATCTACGACTTTAGGGTCTACTTAAACTATTTCCAAGGTTTTTTTTATGAAACAAAGATATTTTAAATTTGAATTTAACACATCAGGATGGATCATTCCAGAAATTAAGCATAGACAAAATCAAACAAAATAACAGTATGGAATGAAAACCTTTATTTTCATATAATAATTAACATTATCAACTACTCACAATAAAGAATTATATATTTTAACAAGTGACCTATAGACAAACATCTCCGCTACATAATGACAGTAATACAAATTTTGCACAAATACAAGTTAATCTTTTAATTAATTTCTTCAGCAAATCGGTTCATTCATTTTAGAGATATGACCTTACAGACAGACATGACAGTCAAGCTAATACTATGAGTGTTTTTGTGATATAGTGAGCGAACGAACAGATGGGAAGCTATTACCACATCCCATAGACACCTAGAACTCAAGAGTCAAAGGTTGACTTTTCTTGAAGGTTTAAAGTAGACTTGCAACGAATAGTATATTCGGCAGTATACCGAATACCGAATATTCGGCGAAGCCCCTGACCGAATAGCCGAATATTAGGCAAAAGTATTCGGCTGGATTTTAGCGCCAAAAACTTGTACAGACGTGAATTAAATTATGTACCTGTTTTATGTACCAATGACTACTTAATAAATGATTATAAAAGAAATGAGAACCTTACCCTTCTAAATTTTGATTACCACAATAATTCAAATACATAGAATCCTCCATTTTTCCAATTCAGAAGATGATTATGTACCTGTGTTATGCACCAATGACTACTTAAATGATTATAACAGAAATGAAAATATGAATATATACGTAATCAATCGATTTCAATTTTTCATTTTACCAATTATTTCTCAATGTCAAAATATATTATTTAAGTATTCGGTATTCGGCCGAATAATATGTAGATATTCGGTATTCGGCCGAATATAATAAAAGCAGCCGAATAGGCCGAATACCGAATAGTAACCGAATATTCGTTGCAAGTCTAGTTTAAAGGTCATACCGATTTGGGAATACCGTAGGGGATAATTTGTTCCACAGATTGGTTACACTTTCGTAATTATTATTTATTTTTTTATGTTAGAGAGGGCAGACGAGCAGACGGGTCACCTGATGGAAAATGACCATCGCCGGCCATGAACGTCTGCAACTCAGAAGTCACAAACGCGTTCCAGGCCTTTTAGGAAGGAGTACGCTCTTTTCTTGAGGGTCGTATCAGTCCACAAATACCGCAGACGATAACCCGTTCCACAGATTGGTTATGCGGGGCAAAAAGTGTCTCGACAAGCGCACAGTAGTGGAGCGCCAACTATCCAAGTGATGAGGATGAAAATTTTGCGGAACGATGGCGGAAAGTTGCGGCTGGTATTCATCAATCATCATCATCATGAATTGTATGTGCTGTTGGTCTTCCAATGAAAAATAAGTAAATAAAATAACGAAGCCTCTAAGAGCCACTACAATTCGTGTTTCTCAGTTAACAGTTCAAAAATAATTAACAACAAAAAGCTTAAAGCTTGATTATACAATCTTACATAGACTAACACAACAATCACTAATATAATGAGTTCAAAAGACTATCACATTTATATAGAGAACATATCAGAAGAAGAAAACCTACCTTAAGATACTATAGGTTATTTTTATGGTATTGATCACTGAAAGAATTTCCACTGCGTGATACAGAATCAATCAATAGCTTCTTAGTAGTTCATATTGATATTCGTTAGATGGCGCTAGTTTAAAATAAACTGACGTTATCTAGCTCGCACTATAGTTGTATCTTTCACTAACACACGCAACGACGTGATAATATATTACTACCAAGGATCGTATGATTGTTGGAAAACTTCAGTGGGAAATAGAAAGATTATACTTAGGTTTTAGGAAGAAGTACTTTCCAATACATTATTTTGTATTATGATACTACAATAAATCTTAAGATAGCTCAGTAAAACCTAAGATTTATGAAGTTAGATAGTGAAGATAGAAGATATACAGTTTTGGTGACGTATATATCTCGAGCATGCTAGACTAGTTTCGAACAGAATGGGGGCCTTCCGTCAGAGGGAGAAGTGACCCCCCCTTCCTTTGACAAAGTGGCTCCTTTGCCATATAGGGATATACAATTTTATTGTGTATAAAATTGTATATCCCTCATTAAATCAATAGTACCTTTGAAATCTATTGTTTCATCACAAAAAAAAAGGAATGTCGTGTCTGTTTACCCTTTATTAGTCATGGGCCTTATTGAAGTTGTAGCTCTATCAAGTAAGGCCAGCTGATGGCCTAGCCGTTCCTCCCGGGCGCGTCGGGCTTGCCCCAAAGCTCGCGTTTCAGCAAACTGCGAAACGAATGCTTCCACTGGCATGTCGCCTAAAAATTAAATAAAGCAGCTATTAAACATAATAATAATAATAGTAACCACATTCACACAACGCCATCAAGTCCCAAACTAAGCAGAACTTGTACTATGGGTACTAGACAACTGATATAAATACATATATACTTTTTTTTTGTAAATACATACTTATTATACATAGAAACACCCAGACCAAATCAAACATTAAATGTTCATGCACCATTGAACCATCGAACCCGCGTCCTTTGGAATAGCAGTCCGTTACACAACCCACTACGCCATTCGGTAGTCAAATTATAATAAATAAATTATCATAATTTAATTTATTAACAACTTTTGTAGATTAACTAATTTTTTTTGGTCATTCTCCGAGTCTTTTTTTAAACTAGGTTGGGTCGGCTTCCAGTCTACTATGATAAGGCTAAACTTCGTATATTTCGATCATTTTACATCGAGCGACTGATCCTTCACAACCCAAGTAGTACTAGGTGATATCGAAATTCTAAGTTTTAAAATTTTGAGTGCTCCAACTACCCGTAACGATTGCCACAGATGATCGGATGGCAACCGGGACCAAGGGCTTAACGTGCTCTGCTAGACACAGAAGTGGTCTCAATATGTTAGGAATGGTCACTCATCCATAGACTGACGTCGCCAGGATCGCTTAGCTTCTGGAATATGCTATGATATAGTAAGATTTACATAGTGTTGCTCACCTGTCAGAAATTTCTCTGCGATGACTTCAGATTCCTCGTCAGCTTTCATTGCAGCCTCCTTTAAATAATCCCTGATCTTATACGGATCATACATCTCGGACAGCTTTTGATGTTTACGGTTCATTTCTTCAAAGTTCATTTTCATTTGAACAATAGTTGAGATACGGTCGACCACTTCACTTTTAATATCATCAAGCATTTGTTGTTTTTCCAAATTTTCTTGAGCAATCTCTTCAATGCTGGTCATTAATTCTTCTGTCTCCTGTTCCAGCTCAACAATTTGTGGGTTGACTTCAATAATTTTGTCCTAGAATAATTTTCAATAATGTTTGTAATATTTATTTTTTTACAGAGGGTAGGAGAGAAAAGTGGGCAGATAAGTAAATGGGTCACTGGGTCTATGAAAATGTTAAGGTGGTTTGTGTACTCTTTAAAAATTCAAAAACTTCTGTGCAAATTGAGCTCAACTACTGACACAATATACAATATGCTTCAGAAATGGTTTCATCTTTTTTTTTGTATCCATCATGTACAGCTAGTAATATTATAAAGGTGCTTGTTTCATAGACAACAGTAATGGGCTGGTACAACATTGGTGTGGTGACGGATTAAGAATAGAGAATGTCACCAGTCCTATTCAACCCGTGGATGTTGTAAGAGCTGACTAAGGGAGCAAACTAGGCAGGACAACAGCACTCTAAAGAGAAGGAAAACTCGACACAAACCCTATACCAACCCGTTTGGTCAGTGTGGTTTAGTAGGCCAAAACCTCCTGTCTAAGGAGAGGCCTATTTCCAGCAATCAAAGGGCTACTACGCAATTGTGACTCTTAAGTCACAGGTGTCCATGAGCGGTGGTAGTCACTTACCATCAGGTGACCTACCTGCTCCATTACACCATATAGCATGAAAAATAAAATGAATTATGTACCTGTAAATCAGTATTCTCCAATACCTCCTGTAACTCTTCGATACTACATTCATTTAACTCCGGAAACATCAAAGATTGACCGGTGGCTTGCGATTGGGGACTTGTTTCGTTGGATTTCACAGGTTCCTCAGTATTGGTCAACTTTGGCATTGACTTCTGGAACTCTCTTATTATAGCTTGGACAACACGCCCTAGATCTGAGTGCAGAGTGTAATTCAACAACCCAGGCGCACCGATAACTTGATTTGAATTTTCGCCAATCCACGGATGCATTATAGGCGGATTAATGAATATGGAAGGTTTCTCGTTAGGAAATTCAGGTCCTAGTATCACTAAGAGGCTCATATTTTTACCATCAACTAAGAAATCCACTCGGTATTCAGAGTTTTCCGATATCTCCAAGACATTATCGTTGAAGACTTTTAACGTATCGATTTGACGTTTCCTCATGTCTTGTTCACTATAATACTGACGGGGAAGCATCTTTTTTATATTCAAACGCTAAAAAGAAAAGAAATTACTTTAAAAATGTTAAAAAACTTAATTGACTATGTGTCCATTCGAGTGTTGTTTTCATTATGCTTTAGAAAGTATAGTGAGGACTTCGCATATTTAAAAGCTAGACCTCACCTGTATTTTACTCAATTATAGCGTAAGTAAAATACAAGACGTGCGCAGTATTAACTTCTTAAAATATTCTGTTGGTTCAAAATATTATTTCGATCAATACAATTAAGCACAATGTTTTCAATGTAAACATTGCTAACAGTAAAACATGTAGAAGTGCAACTATCATTGGTCGAAATAGACTTTGATGTAAATTTTGACCAATTATAACGAAGTTTTTAAACCGAGTGAAATAGAAAACGTGTTTAAATGTCAGTTAGTATGTCAAAATCAGTGTTGCCAGGGTCTTTGAGTCGTAAGTTACGTTTCGATCCCTGAAATATTACATTTTGCTGGAAAAGTTACATTATTGCATATTTTTAATTTATTATGGCGTAAACTTTGAAAATCTTTTTTTATTTAAGTTTACTGCCCAAGTTTCCGGCCCGAGGTTTCAGAAAAAGGTACTTGGTCAGGTAAATCTCAAGCTATCATTATTGGTGGCAGGTACATGTATAATAGCGTTGATCACACTTCACTTCCTCCAGTGTCCTACAACAAGACTATTGTACCGTAATTATTCGACACAAGTCAAAAATCACGAGGTTTATGAACTGCAACATGTCATGGACCACACACATTACAGAGGTGAGGAAAAAGGGTTTATGAAACATATCACTCTTTCAAACGTTCTCAATTTTTTTCCTTTTCACACTAAAGTCCCCCTCTCTCAATCCCTTCTTCTTCCCCTTCTTGACTATGCTGATGTTTCTTTTCTCGACGCTACCGAAGGACTCTGGGGTAAGCTAGAACGGTTACAAAATTTCTGTATCCGCTTCATATTTGCCTAAAGAAAATCAATTGTTTCGGAATTTCGGCAACAGCTGAATTGGTTACCTTTTCCGCGGCGTCGAGATTTACCCTACTTCTCCTTCATATCACCGTGAGCGCTTTGAACACTTTGTTCCCAGGAACAATTCTTGTCGCTCTTCCTTTTCTCTCCTCCTTCGAACTCCCTCCCACACTTCGAGTCGTAATAATAACTCTTTTAGTGTTACGGCTGTTCGGCTATGGAATGCAATACGCAATAACCCTTCTCTGAGCGTGTTCAGGAAGAGAACCAGGGATTATTATCTGTCCCTTCAATAATCAGACCCATAGTATGTATGTATGTATGTATATATATATATATGTATATTTATATGTGTGTCTTTATACGTATAATATATTTTACTATACTAATTAATATCAGTATTTGTTTAATTTATATGCTTTTCTGTGTTGATTCCGAAGTACGCATGACTGTGCCCTTTTTTTTTTTTTTTCCGTGCGGAAATCCCCTCGGATACCACCTGTCGGTGGCATGTCGGACACGAACCGACTAAAACCGCACGCCGTCTCGGGTACTAATAGCCGGGGAACCAGGTATACCCTAGAAAGGAAGTCCCTGGTGCCCCGACATACCTCGGGTCATCTACAGACGAGTAGACGACCCCCCCCCGTGTGGGAACCCCATGTTCCCTGTGCTCCCTGGAAGCGAGCACGCTTCGCAACGCGCTCGCCGCCACCCCGGCCTGCTTCTGCTGGGGTGACAGATGGCCTCACCTGTCACCCCCAGGCCTGCGCTTATGGAGGACGGAGGTCGTTCTGCGACCTCTGGCGCCTGAGTCGCCTGCGGCACCTGGCCCGTTCCCGGGCCTGGCGGGCCGGGAGAGTCCTTAACCTCTCCCGGTCCCGCTCCGCCGTCTCCTTCGCGAGCATAACTTGCTCGCAGAAGGAGACGGCAGAGTTCCACGCACTCTCGCTCCGCACGATAGCCGCAATCAGGCTATCGAGCGAGAGAACTCCCACTCCGATGGCCGCCACGAGGTCTCGCCTCTGCTCAACCCACGCCGGGCACTCTCTGCCAGCGTGTGGAGAGCCGTGTCCACGGTCTGGCCATCGCAGTGGTGGCACTCAGGCGTTGGCTCCTTGCGGATCAGACACAGGTGATCCCCGAAACATCCCTTCCCAGTGATCACCTGCGTCAATCGGTATGAGAGGGTCCCGTGACGCCTCTCGAGCCAATCCTCCATAACGGGTCTTACCGCCGCGATGACGGCGTGCCCGGCGCTCGGTTGCCCGAGTCGTTCCCTCCACTCCCCTATGATGACCTGGCGGAGTTGGGATTTCCGGTCATCGATTTCTCGAATCTCGGGGCATCGACCCAACTCCCGCACCTCATTGCGCCACTGATACAGAGCCGCAAGGGCTCTCGCCTCCAGGTCGCATGACTGTGCCCTTACGTTTCTCTGTTGTCCTCTATTCGCTTAAAGTTTGCTATAAGAAAACTCAGTTTTGGGATAAGTGTGTTTTGTTGTATCTTTGTACCTGACATTTCCTTGTTACTTATATATATTATGTGTGCATTCAGTGTGTACAATAAAGAATAAATAAATAAAATAAAAATGATTTTTCTTTTTGAATGTCATTTATGAAAATTATTTGCTACTTTTAGTCAGACTAGCTACAAAAGCGTATTTTGTCTGTTTTCTTTTTAACTATAATTTATTCTAGCCAAGTAGCTATGAAACCGCGATCGGCCCGAATTCGCGAAGTAGAGAACATGCGCGCACACGCTCAAGCAAAATTAAGTTTTAATTCAACCTCAATACGTTTCACTATCCATTCGTTCATTTCGTTTTATTTTATCAGTGAAAATGAAGTGAAATACTTTTTAGACGTGCAAGTTTTAGGTACGTTTAATTTGATAAATCTAGTATTACTAATCTCGTTGTTCTCAAAAGTTACGAAAATTGCTCTAACTATAAAAAATACTCACATGTTACGCGAGGGGGTCAAAAGTTACGAAAAATGAGGGAAATGTAATCTTCTGGTAACACTGGACAAAGTAGTCAAAACTTACAATCGCTTCAAATTATGGTGGCGCCACGATAGCAAGTGGTAATTTTAAGGAGTTATCCCTAGCTCTAAAAGATGTTGGAGTAAACAAGGAAAGAAGAATTGCCGCTTTGTTTTGGCGCACTCAACAAAATAATTTATTAAAACATACCAAAGAGCGACATTGAATATATAAATTATTAATTTGTAATATAATACATACCGTGACTAACGTCGATATTGAAATAATTTTATACAAATATATAAAGTACATTACTTACTACACTACACTTTGTACATGTCTATTACCGTTTCATTGTTTGCCCCCTATAGATACAATAAAACTAAAACAAAGTAGACAACCCCCCCCCCCCCCCCCCCTTGACTCGAGCAGGATGGACTCCAAGGGCGGCAAAGCACTTGTGACTTTTGAATTGCAGGTGTCAGCCATGGGCGACGGTAGTTGTTTTCCATGAGGTGACCCGTCGACTCGTTTGCCCCCTTATACCATAAACAAAAAAACAATTTTAAATGCTTAATCTATACAAAGTTTGGAGTGTACGAGTAGAGGCAAAGAGAACTATCTAATTTGGGGGTAAGTTGATAAAGTGCCCGATAAACTACTTACGATATGAACATAGCTGTTGAAGACGGAGTGAAGTGTGTCGAGTTCAAATATTATAATACTTTAATTGTCTGAAAGTTATGACACGTTTATTTATTGTCTGTAAAACTCATTGGCTATCTTCGCAGCCATTGTAAATTTATCCTAATAGGATGCGTTTTTACGGACACTTTTCATACACAGAGATGGTTCTCCTTGCCTCTACCGTCCATAATACAGAAGATGTTGCGGAACTAGATGAAAAATAATTATAACAAAAAAAGTCTACATAGATAAAAAAAACGACCAGAAAATAATAATTTGAAAGTAATAAATAAAAAAGACCAAAATATAAATACATACAGGTATACAGAAGGTAACTTTTGTATATTTTTGTAATCCTTTTTTCATTTTCTTGATTTTGATACCCTACTCGATAGGTTTGTTATTTTTTTTATTAACCTATGACTTACGTTACTTACGTATTTTGTTTTTCTTTCAAAAAGTCATTTAAGGACGTTTGGGTGTTTGAGACAGATAAAACAATACCTTAACTGTTGAAATCCATCCAACCATTTAAAAGATACCACGTAATAAAGAAATTTACAAACAAACACACAAGATACGTGCGAAAAATATAAACTTTCCTTGGCAGTCGGGTAAAAATAAACTGTGGTAATGCAGGTTGACAGATTATTATCTTTCAAAAAACTGGCGTTTATGTCATCATACTTACATCTGTCTAATAACTTGTCAACATGTCATGAATATAGCTGAATCAAAGTTTTTTTAGATAAAATTATCACCATTATACTCGTAAAGCTAAAATTTTCCTTAATAAGATAGAATTGCCAGAATTTGTTTTGTATGTGCTTTATTGTCTATGATTAAGGTGTGGTCACAATAAGAATTCCTCCTAATAGATTCATAAAAAAATAAAGAAACAAATCTATTTTGGAATTTAATCATTTTGTCATAATTTTCCATTTTTCATTTCCAGTTGCCATTCTTCAACTTCCCCTTCACATCCTACAGAATTAGGTGGGAGAAAGGGTTGGGCCTCCTGCAGTCTTAATCACTCGGTGATCTTTAATCCTCCACGATTACCGTTATTCATCTTAATATGATAGATTTCTCTGGCGGAACTCTGACATTTCTCTGACTACACGGATGGCGTAGTGATTGAAGCGGTCGCCATACCTACTGCGCTGAGTGTTATAGGCTCGACACAAAGTGGACACCACTTTGTGTGACTCACAAATTGTTGTTCTGAATCTGAATGTTCTTTGGGTCCGTTTCAAGGATGTTTGTAGAGTCTCCCGCGACACACGATATAGGTTCCTAAGGCGGGAGCTGTCTTTAAAAAAGAAAAGATTTATATTTTAAATCAAGCGCCTTAATTTTTGGTTACTTTCTTTTCACGTCGATGGCAACACTTTACACGATTTTGCCCCAGTGCTCGGCGACGCAAATGGCATTTGGCCTTGCTTGATACAAGTCGTCAAGCATACACGAATCTGGGCTAGCGTTGCATGTTAACAAGTGGCCCA